CTGCACTTCAAGATCTCAGCAAGTGCCTGCTTAAATATGACAACACGTTAACAGCTGACAATCTCCAGTCTGAGCTGAAAAGGTTAGCAGGCCAGTAGAACAAGCTCAAGGAATCTTCGTTAGATAAATATATGACCAGAACTGTGGAGGAGGGACCCAATAGGAAGGATGTAGATATGGACATTGTCAACAAAAGCTGTACATTGTGCAAAGAGTACCCCATGTGTTGCTATAAAATTGTTCATTCTTTAACATGCTAACAGATGCATATCACCTTCTTGGAATTGTTCATGCTGACAATTTCAATCACCCATGTGGCCTGCAAAGGTCATTCCCAACATAGAAATACAAATGGTAAGCTTTCATATTAATGTCCACTGAAAAGGACATGCTTATGGCTTTGGACACAGACACTGTAACTGAGTAGCAGAGAAAAGTGAGCTACTGAAGAAACTTCTGTTATAGTAGGGTGAGATGAAATGATTATTAGAATAAATTCATTCACACTAGTGAAGCAGCTTTTTATTATGAAGATGATGTGATCGTGTGACTCATTACCACCATCGCATCCTCTCTCTCTCAGGATACTCTGATTTGTGTGGTTGATTGTTTGTCATTGTTGAGGTTGTTGAGAGGGCCATGTAACCTTTTCCACTAAATTTACAGCAATACATGCAGCTATCTCTACATATTTTAGATTAGAGATACCAGTACTGTGATCACTTAACTCAATAATGTACCCCCTCCTCTTCTCACTCTTTTAAGGGTTGCCTTGTTTAAAGAGGAGATCTTTACTGTCCATTGGTGTTGAGTCTCAGGGAGAAATCTTTTTGTATGTCGACTTGAGAATGGAGAATGTATCCCTGGTCACCTTGATCGCCAGGGAATCAGTCAAGCTCCAAGGAGTATGCTGTTCCAGTTCTAGTGGTAGATTTATCCACAGCCATTTGTTTATTTGTTTATTTTATTTGGATCCCCATTAGCAGCTGCACAGCAGCCGCTAATCTTCCTGGGGTCCACACATAAAATCACATAGAATGAAAGATGAAACAAAACAAAAAGAAAAAAAAACCCTTCCAATTATAATAATGATAACAACAACAATAGCAGCAATAATTAGCGATATGATAACAACAGAGTGAAATAAGGTAAAAATAAAATAAAACAAGAATAATAATCTAATTCATCATATGTGTATGCCCATATGCACTCCTTATGTGGGTCTTCGACATGTGCCTTTTCTACCTCTAGGCTGTTAGGTGACATTTCAATTGCCTTTTAAAGCCTGATTTTGTTTTTTTCTTTGGTAATGTGTTCTGGCAGTGCATTCCATGATGCCATTTCTTGATACAACACTGTTCTTTGCATAGTCACCTTTTTAGCTTTAGGCCATTACTACTCAACTTTGTATTGGGGGAATAGTACAGCAGGTACACACACTTAAGGGGACTGTAAGTGCACTGATGGCATTTAAAGATTTATAAACAGGTAAAAGAACTCAATTCTAAAATATATGGGTAGCCAGTGTAGTGACTTTCGCAGTGGAGTGATGTAATCCATTTTCCTCATTTTAGTCAACACAGTCAACAGCTGCAGCATTCTGTGCTAGCTGTAGTTTTCCTATTGACTTTTTGGGTAGTCCAGTGAAAAGGGAATTGCAACTGTCCAAACAGTTGTTAACGTAGCATGGGTGAGTATTTCGGTATTTTTCTGAGTTAATAAAGGTCTGACTTTGACAATGTTCCGAAGATGAAAAAAGGATGTTTTGATGACCTTGTTAAAATGAGCAATACAATTTCGAACAGAGTCGAAAAGCATTCGAAAAGTTAGTAATATTAGTTTTAATGTGCTTGCTAAAGCCGCCAAGTGTTGAGTGCAGCTTTTCTCGTGCTGCTTTTGGTCCACTTCAAGAATCTCAGGTTTTGGGGTTTTTTGTTGTTTTTTCATTTATCTTTAAAATGTTTTTTATCCATCCATACACTAATGTCAGCAAGACAGTGTTGAGATTCACTGGACCACAGATAATTTGTCATTTGTTAAAATCTAAATTGGACATGTGAAGGATTCTCCTCTTGCCATCTGAAATGGCAAAAGACCTCATGTTGATGAATCAATCAAATCAAATCAAATCAAATCAAATCAAATCAAATCAGGCTTTATTCGTCATTTCACCAAACATACACAGTAATGCAAAACAGACTTGATGCATCAAAAGAAATGTTTGAAGTGCCACTGCTGTCATCTGCAATTGATTTCCAGTAAATCTTTGAAATCCAATGAGTTAATTTAGGTAAATAAAAATGCAATCATCACTTTGAATTTCAGATTCCTAAACAGTCAACATGGGTGAAACTCCAAACGCCAAAGGCTGACATTCATAAAGATTTGATTTTTTCACATCTTTTTGAAAATTCTTTGACAATTTTATATGATCAGTTGTTATCATTATAAGAAGAAATGTCTTCCACAGCACAGACACTGTTCCTGTTAATAAAATTAAAGTCGGACATTAGCATGAGTATCTATTTGATCACATATCAGTTCAGGACTCTTCACAACCTCTGAGCTTCAGTATGAAGCCAAGGATAAACCCGGTCATTTTTGTAGTCCAGCGTGTCACGTCGGTATTTATTAAGTTTATTTTCCGACAGTTCTTTTTTGTAGGCATCAATCAAGGAGGTGCAGCGCTCATTTAACGCAGACATCTGTTGGGAGCTGAATTTGGTTTGCAGCTCACCTTGCAGGTCAGAAATCTCCATTCTGGTTTTGGAAAGCTCATCCAGTGTGTATTCAACAACCAGTAATGTCAAGTCCAACGAGCACTTATTCAAGACCTCGCACCACTTCTTGCAAAATGCCGGGTAGTTGCGGCCCAGTGCGGGCACCTTATTGATTCTCAGCCCCCTGGGAATTCTTTTATTCCTCCAATATTGGGACAGAGTAGAGCCATGCAGCATGTAGCGTGTCTCTTTCTTTTTCAGATGTTCCAGGCGTTGAGATGTGGAATCCCATGAGGTGAACGAACGAAGGGAAAAGTATTTTTTCACTGTCTGTGTCCGAGAAAACAAAAGTGGAAGCCTACCAAAAGATCCACACTCGACATCCACTAGACTTTGTGAAATCCATCACTCGGAACTTAGAATAGTTGACCATGTTGTTCTTTTTCATATCATCATACTGCACTCTGCCTATAATTTCTTCCTTCTCCTCAGCTAACGGAGACAAACCCAGAAAGAAGCAGAGTTTGTCTATTTCTTTCACCAGTATCCTGGAAGGACGATGATCAAATATTATTATCACAGCACAGAGATTTGTATAAGTATTCTGAACCGGGAGATTGTAAATCATACAAATACATTCACAGACAACCCACAAATAAAAGTAAATTACCTCGATTAGATCTTTGTAGAACATGTAGTGGAGATTTGGATAACTCTGTTTCTTCTCCCAGAAATGGCTCACATGGTCGTACCAGGAATTGCTTTGCTTTGATGACCATAGCCAAGTATTGAACAGTTGGAAAGTTGCCAAAAGAACACTGAGCGCAGATAAAACTGCCAGAGTAAATAACGTCAAACCCACCTCGTCTTTTATTTTGTCTACTGGAGTACAGAGGCATGTAGTTGGAAGAGGATGCCTCGAACAAAGTCGCTGCAGCAGCTGATGTATGCCAAGCCTTATTTTGAACTAAAAAGCTAAGACCGTGTTCAGAAATAAAACTGTTGACATAAAATGTCTTGCTAGAGAGGGATCTCATATGTAAAAGTGCCAACTTTATCGGATGTGATCTGGGCTTCACTGGGACTGATTGTGTCAGGCCTTCACCAGGTTGCATGCATTTCTGCCATAATGATTATGAGGGGCGGTTTTGGGACAGATCACTTGATGAACACTACAGGGGCGTGGACACAGGTCAGTAATTGTGACTGGCATGTTCATTGGTATGGTAGAACATGCAGAGGTAAAGACTTGAGGGATACTAATAAAACTCCCAACTGGCCACAAAGGGGAGCAAATGTAGTTTGAAGGGTATGGAGAGGTTTGGTTTTTTTTTTGGACTTCCATTTTGAAGCCTGAAGTTTGGCATTACTGCTGTCGCCGTGTTGGTTGTTTGGACCAAATTTGGGGGAGAGGCTGGTGCAGTGGAGCAGCGACGGGTGAATCTGATTGAGAAGCCGAGGACACTTCCATCATACAGCCTGTTACTCAAAGCAGTCTGCTCCTATATATATATATGATTTTTAGCCATCGTAAATTGTAAACGGGTGTGTTAAAAATTCAGTCCCCATACAGTTGCCATGAAGGGGAAAGTTAGCTTCAGGAACCAAAACAGTTTTTTTGTGTCAGGTTGTAAACATGTTTATTTCTGCTGTAAAGTTGGGCACTTTAACATGGGGGTCTATAGGGATTGACTGGTGCCTGGAGCCAGCCTCAAGTGGTCACTGAAGAACTGCAGTTTTTGGCACTTCCTTTTCAGCCCCAAAGGTTTCTGCTTGTGAAACAAATTCTGCACATACATTATACTGCACAGTGAAGGTCAAACATCAGTGGTTTCATTATCAAAATTGTCATTGGTCCCCTTACTCAATTTCTGATCTTAAGACCTAGTAATAACAGTAACATACAGCCCACTGAGGACCCGGCAAAAACAGTGAAGATGAGTCTTGATGCATCGTACAAAATATTTGAAGTGCCACTACAGTCATCTGTAATTTCCAGGAAATCTTTGAAATTGAATTCAGTTAATTTAGGTAAATACAAATGCAATCATCACTTCAACAGTCAACATGGGTCAAATGCATAAATGCCAAAGTCTGACATTCATAAAGATTTGATTTGCTTTTTGCAAATTCTTTGACAATTTTATAACATCAGTTGTTATCATTATAAGAACAAATGTCCTCCACAGAACAGACAATATTCTTGTCAATAAAACTAAACATCAGACTCAGTAACATCAGCGTGATTATCTGTTTGATCACATCTCAGTTCAGGACTCTTCACAACCTCTAAGCTTCAGTACAAAACTGCAGGGTAGGATTCTTCATCTTTTTCTTGTAGTCTTCATCAAACTCTTCACTCTGGGCCACAGTGAAATGGTTCTTCCAGTCACCAACTTTTCCTGCAGAACCACAGAAAATCAGACAGGTATTTTGGCTGAAGGTGGAGATCTGATTTTTTGTCATGTCACATGCATTTCATTATCCAGTGTACCTTTCCTCATGAAGGAAGATTTTTTGAAATCCATCACTCCGACCATTGATTGGTTAACCTTGTCATTCTTTTTCATTTCATCAAACTGCACTCTTCTGAGAATCTCTTCCTTCTCCTCAGCTGAAGGAGACAGACCAAGAAAGCAGCAGAGTCTGTCTAGTTCTTGTCCAGTATTCTGGAAGCACAGTGATCAAATATTTTCATCACATTATCACCAGCAATGAACTTTGGAAAAGTAATCTGAACAGGGAGATGGTGAATCATACAAGCACATGTACAGACAACCCACAATGGCAATTCAACATCAGGCCCAGGGACAGCAGCTGAAAATTAGCTCTAGCTAATGCTGATGCATTTACAGCAAAGTGTAAATGTTGTTGTTGATTAATGTGTATTAACCCTGCACAAATAAATCAATTAAAAAAAAAGAAGAAGAAGAAAAAAAGAAGAATATTACCTTGATCACATCTTCGTAGAACATGTAGTGGAGATTTGGATAATGCTGTTTCTTCTCCCAAAAGCCGCTCACATGGTCGTACCAGGATCCAAAGACCACTGAAGCCACAGAACAGTAAATGAAACCGCTTCAAGAGTGTGGAGTAAATCTGTGCATCTCTGATACAAACAACAATCTTTTACAGTATTTCATACATACTCTTTCCCTCCATGAATCTCTGGAGGTAGCTGCTCCAGTCTTCAGGCTCTGGGTGAATCATAGTCATGTGTTCAAAATGGAAATAAGACACCACACTGTCCTTTGCATTGCGGGCCACGTAGGTGATCTGCACAAAAAAAAAAGAGTAAATAAAAAAAATGTAAAAACCTGTACTTGTAGCTGGAGGTACCCATGCATCAGATGCGTTTCCTCTTGTCCTCTTTCCTAACTTTGTATAACACAGGTATTTGATTCAGAACAATTTTCAGCTATTGATATTGTACTCAAAAGGCATCTGTGACCTTGCAGTTTTGCTCCCAAAAGGACTTTGGCACAAACTGGACTGGAAGATGAGTCTTGATGATTCGAGGAGAGTGGGTGAGCCTGTCCACTAGCTCTGGTCCTTTTAGCACTGGTGGAGAAGGCCCTAATCCTGTACATTAGTAAAACAGTTAACATGTCAGTGGATCCTACAGTGTGGTAAATGCGAAGTTAGGGACTCTCCCTGGCACACAACCTTTAAAACACAATAGGATTAGTGTGTTTACATGAACATGAATAACCCATCCATGATCAGGTTTTTGGAGTTTTGCAGATTAAAGAAAATTTTGTTTGGGAGTGTTGTGAACACTTCGCACTGTGTCAAATGCACCCAAAGCAGCCAACCAAGTGAGGAAAGGCTGGGGGCATTTTAATTATGTTAATGCACTGCAAAATGAAACATATTACCACAAATAACATTTGAATAGAATAATGGATACTCAGGAAAGGACGAAAGGACAGAAAGAATACTTCGCTGCAAATCTCCAGGTATGCTCATATGACATCAGAAGACGATGCAAAGTGCTGATCAAGCTCTTAACCAATGGCGGATTGGCCATCGGGCCATTGGACTGGTCACCAAGTGGGCCAGTGTGGACGCCTTGGTGGTCAAAGAAAGAAAGAAAAAAGACTAGTGAATGTCAAGCTAGTTGCTAGCTGTCAGTGCTGCAATGGGCGTCCTGCCCATGTTGTTTGTTTGCTGTGAGATGTTCAGAGGGAACGTAGGTGTCAATCTTATGTTTTGATGCTTGAAGGAGGGGATAAGAGCGGCCTCCTCCAATACGAGAGAGGCTCTCGTTTTTCTTGAAATCAGTCATTACTCATGGCAGACCAGGCTAGTTTGACCGTTAGTGCTAGCTACTAAGAAAGGAGAAAGACAGGAAACATGAATAAAGCCGGTAAAAAAAAAAAAGAAAGGGTGGCGCTTAAACACAAAAATAAAAAAACTTAAAGGAGCTATATGTAAGAAATCTAAAGCAGTCATAAAATCATCCTAATATGTCACAGAGACTAAGGAATAATGTTCATATAACATACTGATCTCACCGACAACAATAGTACAGCCAGAATATTTGCATTTAAAAAAAAAAAATTACGGTCTGCAAATCATGTTTATATTTTGAATTTGTGTTTTGGCCTGTTGCGCCACCCACCGCCGTCTACCAGTCACGCAGTCAGTAGAGCCTCAGCATCAGTTACAGTTATGACTGAGCTACAATGGCTGACGGTGCGACTAAACCCAAACAACCTCGTTATGATTCCCAAAAACGCCAAGACAAAACTCGAGGCAAAGCGAGGGTCTATATAGGAGATGCTTTTGAACGGTGGAGACGGTTGAAAGCGGAGAAGAATTTGAAATCGGATGTCGAAGTGGCTACTCTTCTCCTCGACAGGTAAGCTTTAGCCAAAGTTGGCTAACTAGCATCATAGCTAGACGGAGATGGACATTTCGAATACTTTCAACTGTTATTCATTTTCGATCATACATTGTAGCCCATGAGCAGGTGGGTCATCGACCTGATTGTTTTTTTTGAGAAACAAATGTTAGCAGCACGGCAAGCAGCATTAGCAGTGTCCCGGTACATAGCATTAGCAGCCGGCTCCTCCTCAGCTGTATCCCGGCAGCAGCGTTAGCAGCAGAGAAGCCGGGCTTGCTCGAACGGTCCGCTGGAAAACCGAAGATCAAGGTCGCGGCGATGCAGCCCTGCCACAGCAGCCGCCCATGGGCAAACAAATCAGTCTCCAGCGTGCCGCTGTCCATCAACCTTGAATCTGTAGGGGAGGGGGGGAGGGGGGCGGACACAACTCGCGGCAGGATTTTGAATTTGAGTGCAGTAACCGTTTTGGCCACATTCTTACATACAGCGCCTTTAAATCTTTACAAGAAGAGGCCGCAAAGTGCTCCAAAATAACCGCATTGGCTGACGGGCTTAGGCTGCTGGTGTTGCTAATGACGGAGATGGAGCTGGAGCCGACAGTGCCATTGTAGCAGGTGCATTAACGTTAGCTAACATTCGTGAGTGTGTAATGTGCAAGGTTGGCTTTGGCAAATTGGGTATTTCTTCTAGGTGTCCAGTTCAAGAAGCCAACTAGCCTACTAGGTATTGCATTAGGTCATTATAATTTAAACCTGTACTAAGAGAAAATATGTGCTTGCTTTTTTCCTGTGGATGCATGCAATTAACATTAAGTGGTGCTCCCAGTCCCAAGGACAATGAAGCTGAGGGACAGAGACCAGAAATGTAACAGGTGCAATGTGAAGGCATAGCCTGCTATGCATTACATTTTAGCCAGAGGAAAACCTTTTTAGTAGTATTAAGTAGGATTCTTTTGTTGTAGTAATAAGTTAACTAAAAGTTGACTATAGGGCCTATTGCCCAATTTATACCTCCTTAGTTCATGGCTGTGAGCCATGGAGATATAAATTGGGCTGTGCGGGGCAAGGCAGACAAATTATACTGTGCATAAAATTAGATGCATTAGGATAGAGTCATATGTTCTTATTTTAAGTTAAATAATAAGCACATAGCCATTTGTGGCCAATTCATTATTGCATTTATTTTATAGTCTAGAATTAAACAATAACTGTTGATTTTCTTATGCAGTTGATTCTGAGGACAGCGTTTGTGTAGTGTGTACAAGCATATAGAGGATAGGTAGAAACGTGTGGGCCAGTGTGTGGGCCAGTGTGTGGGCTGGTGCGCCGGGCTGAATTTGTGTCCCAGTACGCCCCTGCTCTTAACTCATTAGTATCACATGTATTCCACCAAAGCGACTGTCAACAGACTTATTTCACTGGTCGTAAAAAAAATGTAATCATAAAGATGTAGCTTACATGATGCATAGAAGTTGGTCTGTGGTAAAAAGTAGACATAGCACAAGGTAGCAAGCTAATGTGCAGGAATGTTTATGTGTTGCTTGGCAACAGTACCGTCCCAGTCCAGCTGCTGAACAATTTGTGTTGGCGGAGCCAAATGAATTATTAAATAAACAAACAAATCATAACCTGTTCCTGCATTTTACTGTTATTGTGCTTGTAGAACTATGGTATTAAGGCAATATTAAATAAGAGGGAGTGCTGTTTTACTGTATATCAGCATGGCTGTGATTTGGTCATAGGCACAAGGCCACACGCATCACAACATCATAAGAGTCAGCTAGTTTAGTCAAGTGGTTCTTTACACAGCGGTTGGGACCCTCCAAATGGTAGAAGAAACTGAGTTCTGATGCACAAATCTGTGTTATAATACATACACTGAAAAATATGTTGTGCTCTTGCTTTTTTCTTTTTGAAGGTGGGGAACAGTAGTAATGCAAGAGAAACTCTAGTATACTCTAGAAATAAGATATTTCTTTAAATATTTCAGAAATTATTATTAAATAATAAACTATTACTTAATCAATACTGGTTAAAGGTTAGTCCTTATGTCGTCTCCCTCCTTCCTTGATGGTAAGTACCTTTTTGTTTTATGAGGTTCATAACAGTACATTGTACCAAGCAATTGTTGGCTCATTACATTTTATGATTCACATGCACTAAGAATCACAAAAATGCAGAAAAATAAGTCTTTGAAGTAAATTCTCCTGGTGGGGACCCTCAGACCCCCCTACTTAAAAAGTGGCCTGGCTGGGGTTATTTTGCGCAATATTTCCTGGCCTGTGTGATTTTCCTGGATATCCTCGCTAGAGTTCTCCAAAAGAAAATACTATTGCATGTGTACAACTTATCCCAGTTATTCCCAGTCCCAGTCTGCGCAAATAGACTGCAGTAATCGGTAACAGGCTTACTCGTATTTTTCATGTAATTGGATATATGAATAACCCGATTTCTCTGTGCTCATGTAAACACCATTTCCTGAATATGATCAGAACTGGGAAAAGCCTCATAAATGGCTTATTCATGTTCATGTAAACGTAGTCAATGACATGGTATTTATGCAAACATCTTAGTTGACTGATTTAAGCTGAAGGCTGAGAACAATGGCATAAAAACATTCACATATTCTTAAATATGATTCAACCTGGCACACGTGGCATGCAGATCTCCAAGGGAATCACTCTTTTATAGAGAGGATCAGATGTTGGACCAACATGCAGCAGGTCAAGGATGTGGGAGATCCAGGTGTTTCCTAAAAGGGACATGGCAGAAAAAAAGATATTATAAATTATTTACAATTAATTATACAAATAACTAGAAAAGTGCACTCAGCAGAATGTAGATGTCTGCAAGAGGGCTTTGTTCTGGCTGTTATGCTGCCGCAGGAACTGATTGTGGCCATTCTGCACCTAATGTAACTGTCCCTCCTGGCTCATTGCAGTCAAAATGGTGGCAAAGATAACAAAAACTGGTGGGTTTTTTCATCTCCTATCATTCCTAAGAGTGCTTTCACACCTAACTTGTTTGGTTAGGTTAAAACAAATTCGGGTCTATATGCATGGTAAGTATGGTTCGTTTGGGCTGGTGTGAATGCGGTCAATAGTATCCAGGTACAGACCAAACAACCGAACCGAGACAGCTTGAAAAGGCGGGTCTTAGTCCACTTCCAAATGAACTCTGGTGCTATTTGTTTGTGGTGTGAACGAAAACAAACCAACCACAGGATTTTATGATAGCAGATATGTGATGTCAACATGATTTCAACAGCTAGACCAATAATAAATCCATCTGCTGATTGTGAAATCAGTTTGCGATCTCATAATTTATCCTCATAAAGGCTATGTGTATCCCAGAACCTATTTATGCTAATTCCTACATGTCATCACAGTAACACATACAGTACAGGCCAAAAGTTTGGACACACCTTCTCATTCAATGCGTTTTCTTTATTTTCATGACTATTTACATTGTAGATTCTCACTGAAGGCATCAAAACTATGAATGAACACATGTGGAGTTATGTACTTAACAAAAAAAGGTGAAATAACACAAAACATGTTTTATATTCTAGTTTCTTCAAAATAGCCACCCTTTGCTCTGATTACTGCTTTGCACACTCTTGGCATTCTCTCCATGAGCTTCAAGAGGTAGTCACCTGAAATGGTTTTCCAACAGTCTTGAAGGAGTTCCCAGAGGTGTTTAGCACTTGTTGGCCCCTTTGCCTTCACTCTGCGGTCCAGCTCACCCCAAATCATCTCGATTGGGTTCAGGTCTGGTGACTGTGGAGGCCAGGTCATCTGCCGCAGCACTCCATCACTCTCCTTCTTGGTCAAATAGCCCTTACACAGCCTGGAGGTGTGTTTGGGGTCATTGTCCTGTTGAAAAATAAATGATCGTCCAACTAAACGCAAACCGGATGGGATGGCATGTCGCTGCAGGATGCTGTGGTAGCCATGCTGGTTCAGTGTGCCTTCAATTTTGAATAAATCCCCAACAGTGTCACCAGCAAAACACCCCCACACCATCACACCTCCTCCTCCATGCTTCACAGTGGGAACCAGGCATGTGGAATCCATCCGTTCACCTTTTCTGCGTCTCACAAAGACACGGCGGTTGGAACCAAAGATCTCAAATTTGGACTCATCAGACCAAAGCACAGATTTCCACTGGTCTAATGTCCATTCCTTGTGTTTCTTGGCCCAAACAAATCTCTTCTGCTTGTTGCCTCTCCTTAGCAGTGGTTTCCTAGCAGCTATTTGACCATGAAGGCCTGATTGGCGCAGTCTCCTCTTAACAGTTGTTCTAGAGATGGGTCTGCTGCTAGAACTCTGTGTGGCATTCATCTGGTCTCTGATCTAAGCTGCTGTTAACTTGCGATTTCTGAGGCTGGTGACTCGGATGAACTTATCCTCAGAAGCAGAGGTGACTCTTGGTCTTCCTTTCCTGGGTCGGTCCTCATGTGTGCCAGTTTCGTTGTAGCGCTTGATGGTTTTTGCGACTCCACTTGGGGACACATTTAAAGTTTTTGCAATTTTCCGGACTGACTGACCTTCATTTCTTAAAGTAATGATGGCCACTCGTTTTTCTTTAGTTAGCTGATTGGTTCTTGCCATAATATGAATTTTAACAGCTGTCCAATAGGGCTGTCGGCTGTGTATTAACCTGACTTCTGCACAACACAACTGATGGTCCCAACCCCATTGATAAAGCAAGAAATTCCACTAATTAACCCTGATAAGGCACACCTGTGAAGTGGAAACCATTTCAGGTGACTACCTCTTGAAGCTCATGGAGAGAATGCCAAGAGTGTGCAAAGCAGTAATCAGAGCAAAGGGTGGCTATTTTGAAGAAACTAGAATATAAAACATGTTTTCAGTTATTTCACCTTTTTTTGTTAAGTACATAACTCCACATGTGTTCATTCATAGTTTTGATGTCTTCAGTGAGAATCTACAATGTAAATAGTCATGAAAATAAAGAAAACGCATTGAATGAGAAGGTGTGTCCAAACTTTTGGCCTGTACTGTATACACATCAGTGAGGGTATTTTCCCTGATTAAAAAGCTGGTCAAACTGTCTTGATTCTATCCAACTCCGTGTACTTTGTCTGTTCATGAAGTCCATTAAAAAGTGTGTGACAGTGATCCCACAGTATCAAACTCTGAATCATTACTGCACAAGACTCCTTCTTTTCATCCTGTCTCTATGTTAGTCATTATTCATAACATGATTGATTTGCAGCCTAATAATAGCCTATTAATAATGCTTACAATCAGTTATTTCTCTATGACCTCTTTGTGTCAAACCAAAAAACTTAAATATTAACACTTTAAAAGCATTAAGTGCTGCTGAATAAACTTGATTTCCCCACATGGATCCTGATGATGAAGGATAACACCAAAACTATCCAATCGACACATTTCCTGTCATCCAGTAGAACTTCATGTTTACTCCTCTGCCAAAACTTAAATACAATAATGTATTGAGTGAGGCACCCTAATTTTATTGGATGTAACACAGTAAGGTATGGAATTAACCTGCAGATGCTCCAGTTCAAAAATGAAACTGATCTTATCTATGGATGTTAGGTTTTGATCCACAACAAAGGCCAAACTGCAGTCTACAAGAGACTAGGAAAGCCATCTTGTTTTTAGCAGAGACAATTTCCGGTATTGCCTTTTGTTGTATGGTTTTGCTACGTGACTGTGTTGAGGATTGAATACATTTCTTAATATATCTATAGCTATATGTGTTGCAGGAGTACAAAAGTCCATACACACATCTATTCCAGAGCTACAGTATAAAGCAAAGCACATCTTGTTAACATTAACAGACTGACCTGCTTTGGGGTATGATGTAATAAGTATATCATCTGGCCTGGCCTGAAAGTTTTCAAAGTTCTCCCAGTTGTCTGTATAATAGTGCGTCAACCAGATTCCTTGGAATTCAAACAGTTCTGGTCGAGAAATTGCATCCATCTTTAAAATAGAGAGAAAATTCACAAATCTCAGTACACATTTAGAGATTTGTTTTTTTACACATTTACACATCTGATTATGCACACACACAGATAAAAAAAGTTTCAGAAGTCTCCACACACATTTGCTAAATTGCAAAAAATTAGGTTAATTTTGCTAATACATACTTTTACTTAAGCACTGTTGTACTGTTGTGCTTATAGTGGAATATTTTCACTGTGTGGTATTGCTACTTATACTTAAGCAAAGGATCTTAATACTTCTTCCACTACTGACAAAAAGTCTATTTACACATATTAGCTACATGTTACAAGTTAAGAAATTATTAAACCTCACTGGAAAGTGAGCATTTTGTAAAACAGCACACTATAATGATAAAATTATCTGGAGACATACCTTGTTGCTCTTTTCTGGTTGTTTTTTCCTTTTATCCGAGCTTATTTGTGTCAGTGGTAAATCTTTAACAGTCCTCCCCTCTGATGACAAATTAATCTGTGCAGCACATGAACACAAGCTGAGTTCTAGATGTGATTTGAGTGGCACTCACTCACTTTTGGCTTTTATGGGTCCATAGTCTCCCAGACCTGTATCTTTGAACCACCCACTAGCTGAGACTTCCTGTCTGTCCTGGTCATTTGACTCCTGTGTAGTCAATAGGGCCATTTAGTGAAGACTCTGAGTTTGATATAATAAGCTGGCCAAAAGAGGATATAGAGGCCACTGTTTCAGTCCAGAACCCTGAGACTATACACTAAGGACTGGTGAGCATCAGAGCCACTGTCCGGGACGAAACAAGTCCATGAACGGCGTGTACCACCGACAGATTGAAGAAGTGGCTTTGAATCACACCAGTCCTCTGCCCTCCTTGTTTCACTTATTGTACAGTCTCAGGGTGCTAGACTTGGGATGAAGGTACTGGTGAAGGAGGATGTCAAGTGACCGGGACAGACTGGAAAGTCTGATCTGAAAGTCGGCCAAAACATTAAAACCACTGACAGCTGAAATGAATAACATTCACTTGATCATCTTGTTACAATGTAGTGTTCTGCTTGAAAACCTTGGGTCCTGGTATTCATGTGACTTCACCTGCTCCACTCACCCAAACACCATTTCAGACCAAGTACTCCCCCTCATGGCAATGGCACTCCACAACTGCAGTGCCCCCACCACTACCACCACCACCACCAGGACAATGCACCATGTGACACTGCAAAAAAAGAAAAGAAAGAAAGAAAGAAAGAAACGGTTTAGGAATGGCCTGAGGAAAATGACAAAGAGCTTGAGGTGTCAAGGTGTCTTAAAGGGATTACTTCTGTATGTGTCTATACTTTGTTTTTTAGGAACATCTTGCACAGTATACTTTTGAATGTAGGTATAGGGAAACAAGATGAACTATTCACAATAAAAGCGCCAGACATACACACTGCACCACTCTGAATGCGCACAAACTTAAGCAAATTTTGAAGAAAGAAGAATTTTTGCGTTCGGGGTAAAAATACACAGACTATGACAGAATATGTCACTTTTTACAGAAATCTGTAGATGGAGCTCTAGCATCTATGAATAGGTGAATTCTTAATGTAAGAATTTTTGTAGGTGCCTAGTGGCAAGTACCTCCTGGGTATTTTAGAGGAAAGGAGAAATGATTTATAACGAAAATGTTTTTGTAAGTACTGGGTACCTATGGTGTACAGTGCTGGAGCTGATTTCCAAAGGTAAAGACAGATTTCTCCAATTGTTCTTATTCCAAATCATACAAATTAGAGGACATACTGTAGGCATAATAAATATCTGGAGTGCGGGGTGTCGGTGGCTTAGTGGTAGAGCAAGCGCCCCATGTACAAGGCTGTTGCCGCAGCGGCCCGGGTTCGAGTCCAGCCCGTGGCACTTTGCTGCATGTCACTCCCTCCCTCTCTCTCCCCTCTTCACACTCACCTGTCCTGTCAATTAAAGGCTAAAATGCCCAGAAAAATATCTTTAAAAAAAAAAAAAATATCTGGAGTGTGAGTGGAGATTGCCTGCCAAAAGCACAGCTGTAAGAAATTATTGTCTGAACTGCCTTGAGCAAAGGGCAGAAGCATTTGTTTTTATTGTACTTCATCCTTTAACATTATGTATTGGAAGCACATCACAGCTGTGAAATACATTATACTGTAATTTATGGGGCCATTATTGTAGTGGAGCTATTTGCAAATGTGAGCAGAGAGTTATGTAAGAGTTCCTCAATTTGCATGTACATCATGAGATTTGTGAATGTGTACAGGAATCTGTACACTTGTAGCTGTTGTGAAAACAATCAGATCATCACTGTCCTGTGGTTTGTATCCTATAGTTTGTTTTCTAGTGGCTGGACCTTTAATAGTGTTGGTTGGTAGCAGACCAGCTCAGACAAACTGACAAGAAGCAGAGTTCAGGTCAGAATATACAACCAGAATCAGTAGGGAGGACACTGAACTCTTCGCCATGGTCATTTGGGGTCCATGTCATTGGTCCGACATCCCATTAGTCCGACGGTCCGCGGTGCTGAATGGCTCCCGGCGGGCGTATTTCTACCTTGATGGTGCGCTGCGACCGGCTCTGGGTCAGCTGGGAAAGGCTTGAGGCGGAGCAGGCTCACAGCTTATTTGTTTGTCACTTTCTTTTTCATTTTAACCCACACCATGAGCTTTTCCTAATGTAGCAGGATGAAGTGCTCTCCCATGGGTGAGTGTGCTGCGTTGCTCTCCCCTACCTTATTAGCCAATCCGCACCTGAGGCCACCTTATTTAGGGAGGCAGTGTCCATCTCGCCTTCCTCTTGCTCTTTGGCTCTGAGGCCCACCCACTTCCAGGTCGCGGTAGCTGCCTGGTTTTGTTGTTTGCATTGGATTTTGCGGTTGTCACAGTTATGGTTTGTCTGTGTGCAGACGTCCGACGGGCGGACGCTGCGCCTGTGGGGCTGGCTCGCTGGTAATCTGCCATTCAATGCGCTATTGGTCAGCCGCGTTTGCCACTGCCGCTGGGAGACCTGAAGTGCTCCGACCCTCTCCAGTGTGTGTGCGTCATCGACGCTGCCTGATCGGTATGTAGGGCCCATGTTGCCCAGCCTCTCCGCCTCAGCATTAATCCTTTTAATATTAATCTAGTCTATTTTATATTTTCATTGTAGATGTTAATTGATATGCGGTGTGACGCTGTCTGAAGACCCGCTGCTGCTTTGCTGCATGTTTTGCTTAGTGCGCTGCTCGCATCACTCCTGTGCTGGCTTTAATCTGCTGGGCTCTGCACGTGCTTGCTGTATGCGTATGGCTGGGCTGGATGGGATGTTCTGTGCCCACCGACAGAACTTCTTCCCCCCTATTAGCTCCTCTTTCTTTTGCCTCAGCCCTGATGCAGCATGTGTTGGTTTTGATTTTCTTATGTTGGATTAATTTTTGTTGTTTTGGTTTTGTTTAATCAGATCTTATTTTCTTTTCAGATTAGTAATTAATTACCTTTGATTGACTGTAGCTCCTTTTTTTTCTCTCTTACATTAGGATTACTTTGTGATTTGTTTGGTCAAGGTGCCTGAGTTTTGTAAATTCTGGTAGCTGGACTTTCATCATTTGATTTATTTTGTGTATAAATGTTATTCCTAGTAAATCATTTGTTTTTCTTTTGTTTATTCACTTTTGTTAGCTTATTTTGTTAACCATTAAATTGAGTTATTTTTGGCAGCTACAGTGACTATTTTGTTAAGTTGGTTAATTTGTAACCTTGGTTGCTGCCTATCTTTAAGTCTCATTTATTTATTTGGTTATTTTGCTTATTGGGTTGTTTTGTTTGCTTTGCTTGCTTGTTTTGGAGTTATCCCCTTCTTTAATATTTTCTTTTTCTTGTTTTTTTCAGGTGCTGGAAGCTTACGGTGGCAGTCCTGGTGTCCTGGTGGTGGGGTTCCCCCTTTTCTTTTGGTGTGTGTGTGTGTGTGTGTGTGTGTGTGTGCGGTGCGACCCCTCCTCAGTTATTTGGTTTTGGTGTTTGAGTGACACGAGCGAGTGGGGTGCTTTTTTTCCCTGGGTTCCTTCACCTCCCCGTTCTCCTAGTCTCTCCCACTGGTAAGCTCCAGCCCTGTTTGTGCATTTCTTTCTATTAAAGAGCCACACGCAAAGCTTCTTTTAATATATGTTGGTTTTATGAAATTTTGTAATAAAAAAAAATATATATTTTTATAACTGGAACCACGTCTCCTGCTCCTTAAGTAAAATGAACCTGAGTGCCTTGGTATTAGCTCCAATAAGGTAAAACAAAACTATTTCCTGGGGTGAAATTCCCAAGGTGGCGTTGTCTGGTTTGGTTGGTCATTCCCTAATACTTAAACCTCCCACTCGTATGCTGATCGCCACACTAACCCTAACCAAGTGGTTTTTGTGCCTAAACCTAACCAGACCTTAACCACAGGGCATCATGATGATTTCGGAACAACGGGACTTCGGAACAATGGGATGTCGGACCAATGGGCTGTTGTAGACAAACGAAGCCAGTTTTGGTGAGTGTTACTTTGTTTCTGTCCAGTTTAAACAAAGTGTGTTTTGAGTTAGCAAAGCAGCTAAGCTACATTAGCCATAGCCTATTTAGAACTGAAGAAGCTTCTTGGATGAGAAGTGAAACGTATTCAAGAAACGCAAGCAAGTCCAGTTGCCTATGATATTAGCACTTACGATGACCATGACCTGGATGACTGAGAATCTTCACCGACAAACTACATTAGCCTTAGTTAGTTCAGTGAAAGAGAAACTTTGGTTGCTGTACAGAAGTTATTTTTTGTTTGTGCTTTTTTAATAAGGAAAATAGGTGTAATAATATACCATATGAGTTTATTTTTAATTTTAATTATTGCAGTCTCTGCTTGAACACATCTCTCAGCTGAAACTATGCAGTGTAGGGGCGCAATTGTACACTGAGGCCCCGTTTCCACCAAACACTTTGGGTATGGTTCCTTTGGAACCAAAGTAACCCTTCAGACATGGTACCTAGACACTAGCGTTTCCACCGCAAGCAGTACTCTTAAATGTGGGCAGGGTTGTGGTCACTCACTGCTCTGTCCAGCACTCACTGTATTTCCTCATTACTAGTGGCAGAGATGGAAGTCTCCGTTTATCGTCCACAGAACGGGGTTGCATGCCAACATCTTCAGAACAAAATAAAACAGGCTGCAGTGAGAGTCTCTCAATGGGATATTTAAAAGTAGCAGGTTTGCGCATTTAGTGCTTCGAAGGCAAGCTCAGGGGTTTAGTGGGGCTGGAGCCCACAGGAACGACGCTCCGCAATGCTTTTTCTTCTGAGTGAGGATTGGGATACATGCTGTTGAAATTAATACAAATGCTGGAAGATCCACTCATTACTTAAAGTGTATGTCATATAAAAAATGATGAAAAGGTCAAAGTTGTCACAGTGAAATTTAAGGTGTGTTGGTGGATTCACGTCGTCAACTAATGCATTGAGTAATATGTACCTTAAAAGTCGCCAGAAGTCTGCCCAGTGAATTGAGTAATTTTTGTCTCAGATTACAGCTGCTGGGGAGGCAGCAAAACATTATTTCATTTTATAGTTATAGTTACTCTCCACGGTATGAACAGTGGTTACATGAGCTTCAAAACAGCCACAACTGAGCCCTGAGCTGAGTGACTGTCCAAGATTGACCATCCACTATTGACCAATCAACGGACTGCAGTGTTCACAACTCCACCTTTTAGTACCAGATTTGTGTGCTAGGTTAGGTATTAACGTTAGTGTGCAGCCAAATATTTTATGCAATAAGCTTAGCTATGTTTGCAATATTTTCCTAGCTGCTAGGGTTTGTTTGAGGAAAAACTCCTTTCCTCCTTACACAAAATAGTTTACATGGCAAAGTGTAGATGCGTTAAGTGTGTGTGTGTGTCTGGACAGGGGGGTCGGCTTTGAGTTTGGGCCCTATCCAACCTCAAGGCGTTGTGCAGCAGGGGTCCAAAATAAGTGATTTGAGGGCATCCCCCCCAAAAATTTGTGCGCGCGCATAGCGCACGAACCCAATCCACTGTGCCCCCTCACATTTTGGGGTTGCATGACGCCCCTGGCTAGGTACCCCAACAGAGAGGTGACCAAAAATGGGGATGATACAGAACAGTTCCATTGGTACCATCCACAACTTCTCACAGTGGAAACAGAAAGAAAAAGCGTACCAAACTAAACTGTATTGTACAGTACTGCTCGGTGGAAATGGAGCATAAGAAATTGCTTTTTTCAGTAGGTAATGCTGTGATGTAAATCCAGCAATCCTCACTTCCTCTGTGGCAGCAAGGCAACAGAGACTTTGCACAAAAGACGCTTCTCCATGCCTTGTACTACTACTACACTGCTTGTTTGATTGTTACTGCAACACCTCATCTCAGTGAGTTTGCAAGTTGCTGCAAGTTGGTTTGTTTACATGGAAGTCCGCTATGCCGGCTATGTCGGTTGCAATGGCAAAGGTACACACAAAAATGGCCGCTGTTCTGATCATCCTGCTGTGTTAATTTGATTGGGAATATCTGTTCTACTGTCACTGGATTTCTATGGTTCTTGGGCAAACTGCAGTCAAACAAAGTATAAACTACACTCACTAGGGTGCAGATCTCCGCCACCGATGTGATCACTCGAGCTGCCACTCTAGACAATTCTTGTAATTTCAGCAGATGCACAGCAGCATGTTTAAGAAGCTAATAAAAATACACACCTTTTTTTTTGGCAGAGCCACAGCGTGTTGCACAGAGCAGATTGTGTTTTCCTACTAGCTGGAGTCTGTGGTGTAGTGGTAGTTGATGAGGTAGGTGTAGTAATGTACTGATTTATTGAAGACATATACTGTACCTTTTTAAATTGACTTTTAAAAAGATACGTGTTGAAGCAATGTACTCTGTTTAACTGACAAATCACACACTGGGTTATTATTTCATGTATTCTTATGACACACATACACTCACTCAGCACTTAAGCATTGTGGTGGAGAAGTACTTAGGATTAAAAATAGCATGGAGGATGGGCTCAGAAACCACTGGTGGAAAGTCAGGGAAATTACAGCTTGTCCTGATATGACCCTAGAGGAGGCGGGTCTTAGACTGCCGGCTCCAAGGGAGAAAAGGAGCGTGGGGAATACTATTATGAATGAGTGCAAGGATTAAAGCAGCCATCGGGGGAGACAAGAGAAATGTGACACCGTTATGTTTTAGCTCCAAGGGGGAAGGATTAAGTAAAAGACGACTCAGCAGAAATCTTCACAATAAAAGCAAAGTGCGCAAACAAAGAAATTCCAGTCTTGCTCCGGAGCTTGACTCATTGAGTTGTGATGTGTTTGTTGCCTGCGAGTACATTAAACTCAGTTGCATCTGATTCTACGTGTCTCCAGTGATTTTTTTTTTTTACCTCTGAGTATTTGAGTTTTTGATATCTAATGGAAAACGAAGAAAGTCCGTTCGAGAAGATGGGAACGAGGTCACGAGCTTTCTGGCCCAGCTCCCGACCATTTGATTTATGCTTCCACATAGGTGTGTTCCTGGAAGAGGAGGTGGGTATATTGCTCTATATATTCCAATTTTTTCGCTGATAGGTGTGTGCATAATGTAAAAGGCCAGAGACAAAGGTGGGTATAGTCTGGATACCCTCCATTATACCACTGACAGGAGTGATGAGTGAGCAGTCAATGATAGCTTAAAACAGTTCATTAAACAAGTTTTATTTTAAATAATTATGTATTACCACAACCACGAGACGTCCTTGAGCATACAGTCATAGTTGTCTGCACAAAGAATTAGAGGCCGTTTACACGTTGCTATTTTCATAAACGGACATTTCACCGTCTCCGTTTTCAAAAAATTCTTTGTTTACACTTACCCGTGTATATATACACAAGAGCATGCCAAACCTGTAGGTGGCAGTGTAACGAGAAGCTCAAGCCTTCCATGTATCCTTTGTCACCATAGCAACATAGGTCGCACTTTTGACACAGGCGCAAGTTCCGGCGCATACTGTGACGTCGACTGCCTATAACTCCGTTTATCTCAGTTTATCTCTGTTTATCTCAGTTTACATGCAAACGCGCAACTGGAGTTTTCCAAAATCTCCACTCTGGCCAGAGTTTTTAGAAAGACTCGTTTTCAGAGGAGAAATCTCCGTTTGAGGAACATAGGGAGGGAATCCAGCAAAAAGCACAAAAGGCCAACACAGACAAACTGACAAAGGACAAAGGGAGTGCAGCAAATACACAAGGAAAGTATGGTGATAACGAGGGACTGGTGACAGCAGGATAGATGAGGAACAGGTGAGACAAATCAGGGCAGGCAATCACCATGGAGGGAAAACACACAAAGGCAGGAAGTAAAACCCGACATGACACATGAGGAGTGACCCTACAAAATAAAACAGGAAACAGACTAAAGTTAAATGAAAGTCATGAAACAAGGAAAAACAACAGAAAACCCAAAAACTAGATACAATGCAGATTTCCAACATTTAACATGTTTCACACTCAAAAAGTTTTAATTTTTGCAGATCTTTTCCCCTATTTTTTAATGATATAACATCAGTCATCTAAAGAACAAATGTGTCACACAGGTTAGACAATGGTCTTGTCAATGAAATTTAACACCAGACTCAGTAATATCAGCATTATTATCTATTAAATCACATATCAGTTCAATTTTTTAATTATGCACAGCCTCTAAAACATTGACTGTAAAAGTAATGGACGTAGCTTCCATGATGTCAGCCTATGGTTTGTGGACTCCAATTTTGAAGCCTTGAGTTTGGCTTTTCTGGCTGTTGCTATCTTGGTATTTCGGAGCAAGAAGTGACCATATTTGGGTACAGCTGTCATGAAGCTATGAAGAACAAATCTGTCTTCTGTATCAGGCTGTGAACATGTTTATTTCTGTCTTTCGCATGGAGGTCGATGCGGGTTGAGTAGTTTCTGAAGCCAGCCTCAAGTGGTCACTCAAAGAACTGCAGTGTCTGGCACTTCGGTGTTGGCTTCATTGTTCAGCCCTGTAGGCTGCCGCTTGCTCTCAACTTCAGTGCGAAATTGCAGTGTAGAATTCTTCATCTTGTTCTTGTAGTCTTCATCAAACTGTTCACTCTGGGCCACAGTGAAATGGTTCTTCCAGTCACCAACCTTCCCTGTAGAACCACAGAAAATCAGACAGGTATTTTTGCTAAAAGTAGAGATCTGATTCCGTCATGTCACATGTATTGCATTGTATTGTACTATTCATTAGGGGCAGGGGTAAAAATCGCTTCACATAAAAATCTTGATTCTTTTCTTCTACAATTATGAATCAATTCACAACTTCCAAAAATCATTTTTATATGGTATGGTTACTAGTCAGTCACTCACTTTTAACGTTTAGCTATTGGGGTCAGCAGCCTATTTGTGTGTATGTGTCACATGTGTGGGTTATATGCTGGAGTTTGTTGGTGCTGCAAGTGTTGGTTATTTGTGGAAGGATTGGGAACATGAAACTGTAGTGGTGCAAGTTAATTAAATTTAATACATTAGTGGTAAACCCTGAGTTTATCGTGTCAGTTTCCTTATCCACTCTCTCCTCACATACTCACACTAAAAAATCACATCTGCCAGCGCGGATGCCAACCTCCTCATCCTACTGACCTCACCCGTCTCATTGATTTTTTTCCCAACCCACTTTAGATGGAACCATGCCCACTTCTGCATTACAAAAGTGGACTTCAAGGCCTGATGATTTGCTGCCAGCTCACTGCCAACCAGTGCCATTTAAAAAGACTGCTGCTTGCTCCCTAGCACACCCAGTCTCTCTACCTCACTCATGAGACTACAAAGCCGGAAAGTTTGCTGATCCAGCGGGGATTTGGGGGGCAGTTCAGCAACTGAATGTTCATCTCCAAGAAATATGACAATACAGTAGCTTGGAAAATAGCGATTTAAGTCATTAAAGAGACTGTGCCGATTTTCAACCAGCTCTATGTCATCGCAGTGTGGGCAGTGTGTGCAGGCAAATAAAGGGGGAGCTCCAGGTGCTCATGGCACAGGGGGAAGCCAAACATCCTTCATCTGCACACACTGAGATGGCAAACTGGTAGAAAATCAGCAAAGTTTTTTTTTAATGGCTATAGCAACTTAAATTCAGCCATGCAGAGACCGTTAGTAAAAGCAGATAAACACATGGGAGACATACACATGTAAACAAGACACATAGATACATAAAGGAGGGGGCATTGAAACCCAGCACCCTGATTCTAAGGAGAGGGATGGGGTAAAGTAGAGTTCCTTAGAGTGTTCTGGCAACCCTGGCGTTCAAAGCCTGTTTAAATCCACTTATATCTGAAAAGTATTCAAGAGAATGGTATAAAATCTTTATAATGTTGCCCACTTTACTCTGCTTACATGCCATAATTTGCCATGCTACTATTCTTAGCCCACAGCGGACTGGAGTAGATGCTAAAAATTAGCATCATTATGAAATGAATTGAGAATTGATTCTGAATCCAATCATGGTCCCGAGGATTGAAATCAAATCACATTGTGAGATACCAAAAAATTCACACCCATACTATTCATTTTACCTTTCCTCATAAAGGTAGACTTTTTGAAATCCATCGCCCGGAACGTAGAAAAGTTAACCATGTCGTTCTTTTTCATTTTATCAAACTGCACTTTTCTTAGAATCTCTTCCTTCTCCTCAGCTGAAGGAGACAAACCAAGAAAGCAGCAGAGTTTGTCTAGGTCTCGTCCAGTATCCTGGAAGCACAGTGATCAAATATTAATCAAACTATCACCAGCACAGAGAGTTGTAAAAGTAATCTGAACAGGGAGATTGGAAATCCTACAAGCATATGCACAGACAACCCACAAAAACAAGTAAATTACCTCGATCATTTCTTCATAGAACATGTAATAGAGATTTGGATAACTCTGTTTGTTCTCCCACCAATCGTTCACATGGTCGTACCAGGATCCAAACACCACTGAAGCCACAGAACAATTAATGAAAGCACTTTAGGATTGTGGAGGAAATCTGTGCATCTCTAATACAACAATCTTTTACAGTATTTGATACACACCCTTTCCCTCTAAAAATCTTTGGAGGTAGCTGTTCCAGTCTTCAGGCTCTGGGTTGATCACGGTCATGTGTTCAAAATGGAAATAAGACACCACACTGTCCTTTGCATTGCGGGCCACATAGACTATCTGCACAACCAGAAAACACTTTATCTTAAGAGCAGCACTGCATGAAACATGAAATACTGAACTTGTTTATGACCAACTGATTATAAATCAGTTGTACTTGTAGATAACACCCATCCATCACGTTTTTTTTTTTTTTTGGCCACCGTTCAGCCTTCATATGAAATAAGCAGCCCTAACTCCAGAGAAATCCATTCATGTAAAACTAATTTGAAACTGTAAATACGTTTTCAAGTGAACATGATAAAGTGGTGCAGGAATGAGTCCTGAAATGCAGACATGAGTTAGCAGTGAGTTAGTCTTGGAGTCAATGGATATTTTGAATGGGTTTTTGGTTAGTTACCTGATATAAAGTCTGTGGTTGACACAAGCTAACAGATTTTCATGTTTTGCTGTGGGACATGAAAAACATCAGTAAATACACCACTCCTTAATTTTAGGGCTTTTACGTGTCTTATAAACGAGGGTTGGAAAGAAGAGTCTTTTTAAGTAATTCGACATTAGTGTAGATCATTTATCGGCTAAAATGAGCTTTTTTTACTTTTGTTGATTGAACTTACAAAATCATAAAATTGGTGTAAATTTGTGAAGATAATCTTCTTGAACAAAATGCCACAGAGCTTATTTTCTGCAATAATCCAAGATCCATTGGAAAAATCCCATTTGCTTTCTGTCAAAGGAACCAGGGTGACAGTAACTTCTTTGTTAGCCTACAAATAAGCATCATACCTGCAGCACTTTATTCTGAGCAAGTTACGTTTTCTATCAACAAAATGAGGAAATGTTAATTAAGTTGCAAAAATGCTGATACTTGACGTGTCAACAAAATGTACACTGACAATGTATTTCAGTTGTTTTTTCACCAAAATAGGCACTCTAGTAATACAGTATCCATTCATAGTGACTACAGCATTATTTTTTAATTACCTTCATTAACATCACAATCTTTCCCTAACCATAACAAAAGTGCTCGTTGCCTAAACCTTAGACAGGACACGAACCTAAGGCTCGGATGTCAAGGTCCTGCACTTCGTATGCTCACCATCCTCCACAGGCACCTCGTTCCAAAACCTATGTGGCACATGAATGTAGTGTTTTGTTACCTGTATGTCTCTGGACATGATTCAGGCAGCAAATACATTATGAGAGCTGTTTAGCAATATACTAACGTAATTTCTTGGAGACAGGATTGGAAATAAGAATCATATCCACCTTATTCCTGAGCATAGCGGAAGTAGCAGTAAGCTAGTGAGTCCCATAGACTGTCTGTGGTTAGTCCCTGGTGGCTAAACGTCAACTCTGGTTCTTTTAAAGCCACAGTGTGTAGGAATTTCTCCCATCTAACGTTGAAATCATATACTGTATTCAAACAGATGGTGCACTCTAGCGCCAAAACACGTATTTCAACAACTGTAGCCGCTGTGTACCAAAAAGCTATGATAACACCGATGAAACCATGTCATCCGATACTACATGGAGTATTCATTCAGGCTCCTACGCAGACACACGTGACGCGAGTTGACAAACCCCCTCCTCACCATGCTGGCTGTGTTTACAACGTAGGACTGTTGGGGCGGATGTAAATTGAAACAAACCAATCACGTCTTGTCCTTTGACAGCTGACAAGTGGCTCAACCTCACACACCTCATCCCTCTCCTCGCATTACTGCGCCGCTAACAGCTGTTAGTGGCCAGCGGCACTACTGCCGCTTAACAAAGTCCCACTCTTTGAGCATAATGCAGGATCATGTATTATGCAGCATCACGGGAGACGGAATCCTCGTCACCAAGAAAGTGCAAAAGGGAATCAAAAAGGCAGCGTGACTGGCAAATTAAAAAAACAAGGGTCAGCATTGGGGTTGCCTTTCCCAGGTGGAGAGAGCTGCTGAAGGAGAAAGGTAATACAATCACAGGCCAGCGGCTAACAGCGGCTAACAGCTAACAGCGGCGCAGTGATGCGAGGAGAGGGATGAGGCTGTTAGCGACTGGCCGCTAACAGCGACTAACAGCCAACAGCGGCGCTGGCCTGTGATTGTATTACCATTCTCCCTCAGCAGCTCTCTCTACCTGGGAAAGGCTACCCCGATGTGGGCCTTCGTTTTTTTAATTCGCCGGTCACGCTGCCTTTTCTATTCCCTTTTGCGCTTTCTTGGCGACAAGGATTCCGTCTCCCATGATGCTGCATATGCATGATCCTGCATTATGCTCAAAGAGTGGGACTTTGTTTCAAATTTGCCAGGGTAGTAGCGAAGCGCCTCTTGCTCCTCTCCTTCGGCTCCTCAGTCACGCAGTGCTGGCCTGGCTCTCAACGAAAACGCCGAAGGCGGTGCTGTATGTCCCTTGCTGGCGGGTGTATTCTCAAGATGGCGAAACGTAATGGAACCCCACAGACGACTTACCCGCACAATGTACAAACAAATCCGAAATTCTCCTTTTACGAGAATAAGTCAGATTATTGGTGGAGGTAATAGTACACCAGTGATGACATATTTATGAATGCAGACATCAATTTTTGCCAATAAACAACTGAAAATGTTACACAATGCCCCTTTAAAGTAATTTGCCTTCAGTTTAGCAAATGCTAATTCATTTTTTAACAAATATTTAACTAATGTTAACTTTGCAGAGCTCTGGTACCTGTTGCACTGTCCATGTCTGTAACGACTAACAACCAGTCTAAGCTAAATTTTTGTCTTCAGCAACTGTGTGTTGAACATGTAACCAGAACAAAAGGGGATTGTTCCTGTTGCCAAAGGTACCATTGATATAAGAAATAAAACCACAAGAGTTTCACGAGACATAGCAAAAAAGTATAGTAGTATACTAGTACTGCACACGAAATCATAGTAAGTAAATCAAGTACATCATAGTAGTAGTACAATCAGAATTTGCACCTAGACTGACAGGTCTGTCACTCAGCGTCAGTACATGATATCCCTGTCTTAACCTACATTAGAAAATTGCTCGTTATAAAATAAACTCAGCAACATACCTTGAAATATGTATTTAGTCATTAGGGCTGAGAATGTGTTACTAATTTACTGTACTTCCTTTATATCATAGAAAAAAAATGAATGCCAAAATTTATTTCTTTTACTAATACTTTATATTACTATTACAGAAGTCTGCTGCTAAATTCAGCATCATGTTTCTCTCAGAACAGTTTTTAATAAATCAGAAGTTAGAAAAACATGTAAACTGTGTCACTAATGCAGAGGAGTGGAGAATTAGCTTTATTTACTCACTTTATATGGAGCTACATTTAATACTGAATTATGTTAAATGTTTGCTGAATGTGTTAGTTTCTCTTAATAAGTCATCAGAAATCATCTTTAGAAGGAGCAGACCTTGAGCTAGCTCGGGCCATGTTAAAGTTAACATATTTTAACAGAGCAAGGCAAGCTAGTTGCTAGCGTGCTCGGTTGAAAAGGAAAAAAAACAATGCGTTGGGATGGCTGTCAGAGATGGCAGAGGTATGATCACATAATCCCGTTTGAGCTATAACAGGTGGTGTGTTCCATGTTTTATTTGTCAATTGCTCTTGGAAAGAAGAATAGAGTACTGTAAAACTGTTACCATTGGAAATTGCCGGTCTCGGTTCAATGCCAGAAGTCGCGCACATAATTCGTGCTAGGGATCATGGGGGCTAGGAATAAGGTGGATAGGCTACTGAAGCTGCTTTGCTTCAGTTAAATGTTTTTTTTAAATAACATAATGACAAGAATGTATGAGTTAGAGGTACATACACCTGGTAAAGATCTGTAGTCAGTCCTTTGATAATTCCTGTATTTAAGTCCTAATCATAAGCGCAGTTTGGTTTAATCAGACTTGTTAATCAGTATGAAATGCATAATGTATAAAACACATCCTGCAGGCAGTTTAAGATCTCTCCCTGGCTTTAAATTCTGTGGAATATGTCCACCTGTTTTTTTTCTTAACTTTGTATAATAAAGGGATTTGGCGAGTACAATTGTCATTGACCTTGCAGTTTTGCTCCCAAAAGGACTTTGGCACAAACTGGACTGGCAGATGAGTCTTGATGATGCGAGGAGAGGTGGGGAGCTTGTCTACCAGCTCTGTTCCTTTGACTATAGGTGGGGGCCATGATCCTGTAATCATAACAGTTTTCATGTCAGTGAACCTTCAGTGTGGTAAATACAACACAACATAACTACAAATCAAACGTTGAGACACCATGATGAAAACAAATGCAACAATTATCATTATTATATTGCACACAACCTCACATACTACCTTTAGAATCACAATGACATGTAGTGCAATGTGAACACTTAGTTTACTGCTGCAATAGGCCTAGAATTACCACCACCAAGTGTCTGTATGTTTGTGAGAAATTATGTGAAATATGGTGAGTACTGATTGTTAATTAAACCTGGCTGCAGAGAAGGTATGTGGACCTCCAAGAAAGGCACCCTTGCATACAGAGGGACAGACGTCTGACGCTCTGGAGATGTCTGACCAAAATACAGCAGGTCAAGGATGTAGGAGAACCACGTGTTTCCTAAAAGAAAGACAGAGGAAATCAAAAAAGATTGAGATAATCCAAACCCCTGACCTCTATACACACATTTGTTCCAGAGCTACAGTAGCGCATCCTGCTAATGTTTGTGGACTGACCTGCTTTGGGGTATGAAGCAATGAGTATATCATCTGGCCTGGCCCGAAAGTTTTGAATGTTCTCCCAGTTACCTGTCACAAGGTGCGTCATCCAGACTCCATGGAAATTGAACAGTTCTGGTCGAGATATTAAATCCATCTTTAAAAGACTGAAAACAAAAAAGGAAATCATGTAAATCACTGAGTAATTAAACTTAAGTCAAATCATCTCAAAAATGACTTTTACAAGTCATCTTATAAAAGGAGTAAAACAAAAACTGCATTACTTTATGTTTCACTTCCACCTGCATACAATAGACAATATAAAAATCCGTTGCTTTTTATGTTTCTGTTTTCTTTTACTGTAAACCACTCTACATGTTTTAGTTGAGTGTCAAATATGAAGGGGAAGAAACACTAGAAGTTACAGTTTCAGACAGTCCTGGTCCAGCTATCCTCTCTCTGATCCTCTGTGTTGCTCTGTGTCCACTTCAAACAAAATCAATCCAAAAAATCCTCCTTTTACATGCCCTGTTCAAGGTGTAATTGGTAATGTTGTTTATCGTAACTGTAATTTCTTTTATTTTTTGTTTGCGTATATATTAGGAAGAGAAAGACTATAACATCAGAGACAAGTTTCCTCAGACTACTCTGACTGCATACCAACCTAGTCAATCATGTGCTCATATATGGGAGGACTACGAGAGAAGCTCGACAGCCAGCGCAGCATGGTTGTATCCATTGTTCGTACTTTCAGAAGGTAAACTGGTCATTTGCCTTGTTGTTGCTTGATACATGTAATGTTGTAGTGCATATAGACTGAATCTCCATTCACATACCCTTTTCCAACAACTTAAACTGGTTGAGTCAAGGATTGTTGGAGCCTTGGCGCTATCTAGCAAACCAGCTTGTGTTTCCACCAGTTTTGTGCAGAACCCTTGTAATTAAGGATGTGTCATTAACGGGGGGAGTTGCACAATGCACAACAGAAGTTAACAGTAATGGCAAAATCACGGATTACACTGATTACCAGCAAACTTTTGCCTCTGTTACAGATATTTGTTTTTGCCCCCAAAACAAGAATGAACCAACTATTAATAAAACCACTGCACACTTTTTTCGTCTGACAATTTCTCACTTCACTTCCCCATCCTCTCTTTCTGTAGAATATGACACACCCACTGATGTCATCACTGTTCGCACATTAGGGTCAAGGAAAACCTGCTATGTTTTGGCTCCAGCGGCAACTTTTCTTGTTCTGAACCAATTTAGTTTTGGTCTAAATGCTCTGAGCAGTTCAAGTTTAGGTGCAGGAACCAGAATAGATCCAGTTCCATGTTGGTGTTAAAAGGGTATCAGTGTACTTTTTACCACAGTGATGGATGACCAAAGATCAAAAAAGGTCATCTGAGAGGATGCATCTATTGGAGGTAGGCAGAGAATTTAAACACAAATGTTTAAAGACCAGGGGCCTCATTTATAAAGCTTGCTTACACACAAAACGGGGCTTGAAAGTGGCGTACGCCACTTCCCACGCAAAGGTTGTGATTTATAAAAATAAACTTGGTGGGAGAATGTGCGCACCTGTAAGCAAACTCTGAGTCATGCGTGGGCACATTTTGGAGACACTGGGAAGTGGCAACGCAGACGGCGAGGTGGAGAAGTGGAGTCAGATTTTTATTGATGTCTCACACAAATTTAATGTCACGCTATATCCACCTTAGATCCACGTTATCATTGAAATTAAATCCAGCAGCCTTATTTTGCGCTTGGAGTGAGGGATAATTGTTTCATAAAAACGTTGTAAAATCCAACTCAAATCCTGAACTGAAATTCTTTCTAAATACGTATTAATCCGCACTGCCTCTAACGTCTCATTGTCCACTCTGTGAGCGCAGGAGGGGTAGAGGATGGTGTTACTGCATGGAATATATTTATTTATTTAGCTAAATATTTCCAGTGCATTTATCATGTCTCGATATACAGCCATTAAGCACAACCGTTACACTCATTTCATCAGCCCTACTTAGACATGTGCTGTTCATGACAAAACCGGCATAAAGAAACGTGTTCGCCTATTACACTTTCATCTTTGAATTGTATTTCAAATTACATGTTGTATTTTGGGACAGGGATACCACTGGTTCATGCTGTAATTCAGGCCGGGAGTCTGATCAGACTAATTGCCATAAACATATAAATACTGCGGT